TTCCTAAATTCCTCATTACCGTCAAGGCTAGCACTATGCTGCCAGTCACCAAGGCTCACAACTTTGGTGTCATCCTCAACTCCTCATTTTCACCCTCTATGTCCCATCAATTGCCCAAATCCTGTTGATTGACTGTACCTTCATATTTCTTATATAACTCACTGACACAACTCTCATATGTACTCTCTGGAACTGTGACCTTCTAATGAAAGCCTTTATCACTCATCCCTGTATCAAGTCTGTTTCTACTCCAGTCCACCCTCCCCTCAGTTGCCAAATTAATCTTCCCAAAGAGCAGGTCTGACCATGTCACTCTCTCTATTAAATAAACGTCAGTGGCTCCCTATTCTTCAGAGGAAACTGAGGTCCAGAGTTAATGTTAGAGGAAGGACATTCTACTTATCTCTCGCTCAGTGCTCCTTCAGGCAGAGTATTGATGTTTGCCTTCCCTTGTAAGCAGCTCCTAAGCTCCCTTCTGAGAGCTTACCAAGTCTTCCAGAAGACTGGATATTCATTGCATGATTCAGAACAGCAGCTAAGCAGAGAAGGAGTCCTTTGGTCCTTCTAAGTTCCCTCTGGCACCCACCCCTTAATGCCCCACCCCACACCCTATGTACATTCTGCTTGGCAGGAAATTTTAAGCGTTTTATGGCAGCAAAACTTCAAGGGAAAGGAAAATCCCAGGAATGTGGGAGGTAGAGGCATACCCAGGAAGGCATGGCTCTCCAGAGGGAACTAAAATTCTAACTCTTTCCCCTGCCTTGCCCCACTGAAGAGACTCCACTTTCTAATGCCCCACTTCTGGGATAGGTCACACTAAGAGACTAAGAACATCTAGACCCAAGGAAGCATTTTTTCCTTGCTCCTAGGAATTCACTGCCTGCAAAGGGCCAGGATCCCTGAAGTATCTCCACCTCACCCCCCCGCTTCTTGCTCAAAGCGTGGACTCTAGGCTTCGGAAAATTTTGCAGGCAAGACCAAAATTTTGGGTAAAAAAAAGTTGGCACAACTTTCCAGCAGGGGTGGAGCTAAAGTCTCCCTTCCCCCAACTTGCTCCGCTTTCCAGAGAGCTGTTGTGGCAATAGGACAATCACGCATATAAGAAAAGAACCATCCTTACCTTGTTGCTGTTTCCTGTGTCAGGGGACCAGCAGAAGTTTCTGATCAATTTAGAGGGCATAAGCCTTTGTTTTGGGTCAGGAAAGTACCCTTATCCCCCATGGAGAGTATGTATGCCCACTGGACCTCATTTGGAGGACCAAACTCCCAACTGATTGTCACAGACTGGGGCTGCTTCCCAAGACCATTGGGCAGGTTGGTATTGAGAGGGGTGGAGTCTTGTCAGAGGAGCCACCCTTTTATGAGGGCTTAACAAAGGGAACTGATAGGCCAGATCAGCCCTTTTTGGACTTTTCTTCTTCTTTTTCTGTTTAGAGGATTGGCCAAGTGGGCGTGTCTTCTGGGGAAGGGCAAGCCTGTGAATATGGAATCTTCCCTTCCTCTACTCTAGAAAATGGTCATGGCTGCTTTGGGCAGCACTGGGAAGCATGCTGCCCTTCCGCAAGGAGGCAGCATTGGGAAGCATGCTGCCCTTCCGCAAGGAGGCAGCATGATACAGTAGAAATAGCACTGGCCTTGGAGATAAGAAGTTTGGGTTCATGCCTTGCTTCTTGTACTTATTATATGTGCAACCCTCAACAAGTCACTTAACCTTCCTTGGCCTCAATTTCCTCATCTCTGAAATGAGAGGGTTAGACCAGATGCCCAGTGAAGTGTCTCCTAGCCCTAGTTATAGCTCTGTGATCCCATGACATTGTCATTAGCTTGTCCAGGAGGCAGAAGATAGCTCCTTCAGAGAGTGGACTCCCCAACCCAAGAGATGGCAGTAGCTGGGGCTTTGATAGGTTTTCTAAAGACAATAACATGGCAGAAGCAGACACATGCATGCCCCAAGAAGACAGCTCATGAACAATGATTTCTGTATAGAAGAAGAGAAGCTTTTAATCTCCTGGGTGGTCAGATTATAGAATACAGCTTTCTAGGCAAAGAAGGGGAGTTTTCTCGGGCAGTGCCAGCCTTGGGAGATTGCTTTGTCCAGGGGACTTCCAGTTTGAGAACTCTAAGTTCAAGAGTTCAAGAATCAAACATTCCGGAGAGAGAAGGGGATTTTCTGAGCACTGTTGTCTCTTGGTGAAAGCATTGCCCACATGACCCTTGTGATTAGAGGACTTGAATTAGGGAAATAAGTGACCTGAAAACCACCATTTCAGTGAGTATTTCAGACAATGTAGGCCCAATGGGAAGGTGGCATTACTTTTTTAAGGAGTTTCCAAATATGCTTACCCTTGCTTCTAGGGAATTTATTTAAGTGTCTTATGTTTTCTATATGTTTATGGGCTCCTGTAAGTCTTTTGTATTTCTGTGTGGCAAAACAAAGGCTGTCTATCCTACTCATTTTGTATTTTTAACTTTGAATGCTTGTATGGCAACTGGGATGGAGGACTCTTTTAGTTCATTTACCCTAGACATGAGCTATACTTAAGATAAATCGGGAAGTTTTCCTGGAGTAAATTCCTGGTGGAGGCATAATGTTGTTCAGTCGTGTTTTTTTTGTGTCCAACTCTTTGTGACCTCATTTGGGGGTTTCTTGGCAAAAATACTGGAGTGGTTTGCCATTTCCTTCTCCAGCTCATTTTTACAGATGGGGAAACCGAGGCACACAGGGTGAAGCGACTTGCCCAGGATCACACAGTTAGTAAGTGTCTGAGGCCACATTTGAACTCATGAAGATAAATCTTCCTGATTCCAAGACCAGTGCTCTATCTACTGCACCACCTACCTGCGAAGGAGACATAATGAACCCAAAAAATGAGGGTAAAAATTACTCTCTGGGGTTGCCCCTATGATCAGTCCCAGTCAAGTAGCTTTGGGACCTTTGGACCACCAATTACAAGTGAATGAATGAATGTTGCTACTTTTTATAGGGATGAACTTAGAATGAAGTAAACAAGTCTCATTCATTAAAGATTTATGAAACACCTACTGTATGCAAGGCACTATGCTAGATACTTGAGATAGAAAGATGAAAACTACATAGTCCCTGTTCCGAAGGAATGATATCTAAATAAGACGTGTATGATCTGAAAATATAATCTAAGTTTGGCTGGATTAAGCAAAGGAGGTACCCGGACAAATTATTCTAGTAATAGCTGAGAAAGGAGAGAAGATTTTTCAGCCAGTGAGAATGAGGAAGGCTTCATGGTTTTTGAAGGAATTCAGAATTTTAAAAGGCAGAGATGAGGACAATATACAGTCCACGTTTTGTGGACAACCTGAGTGAATGGGGTGGGTGGTATACTGAGTTCAGAGAATAGCCTGGCTTGAGTAGGATGCAGAGCACATTATAAGGATGCTAGGTGGTGCAGTGGGCAGAACACTGGACCTGGGTCAGAGACTTGAGTTCAAATTCCTTAGACACTGTGTGACTCTAGGCAAGTCACTTGGCCTCTGGCTGCCTCCATTGCCATCCATACAGATGAGGATCTGTAAATTGGGATGATGATAATAGTGAGGTTGTTATGAGGACCACATGAGATAATATTAAGTACTTTGTAAACCTTAAAGTACTACATAATTATAATAATTATTATTATTACACGAAAGGGAATAATGTCAAATAAGGCTAGAATTAGGTTGCATCCAGATTGTGCAGGCCTTTAACTGACAAGCTAAGGTGTTTGTATTTTATCCTGGGGATAGCAAAAAAATTTGAAGTTTTTCAATGAGGAGACTAACATGGTCAAGCCTATACAATAGAAAGATTATTATTTTTGTTAGCTGTGTAAAAGATGGGCAGCTAGGTGACTAGAGTGCTGGGCCTGTCAGGAAGACTCATCTTTCTAGGTTCAAATCTGGTCTCAGACACTTAATAGCTCTGTGACCCTGGGCAAGTCACTTAACTCTATATCCTCAGTTTCCTCATCTGCAAAATGAACTGGAGAAGGAAATGGCAAACCACTTCAGTATTTCTGCCAAGAAAACCCCAAATGAGGTCCCAAAGAGTTGGACGTGATTGAAACAACTCAACAACAAACAACAATGTAAAAGATGGATTGGTGACAGAAGGCATTGGACCAGGGAGAACGTTTAGGTAAGTCTGTTAATGGCCCAGTTGAGAGGGGATGATGATCTGAAATAGGAAATTGACAGTAGGAAGCATGTTGCGAAGTCAATAGGAGCTGAATACAAGGAAGTATCCAACATAGTAGACAGAATGCCCCAAATCCTGGAGACACGAATTAGAATCTTGCCACATACACATCAATCAATCAATCAAAAAACATTTATTAAGTGCCTACTATATGCCAGACACTGTGCTAAGTGCTGGGGGATACAAAAAGAGGGAAAAGACAGTTCCTTCCCTTAAGGAGCTTACGATCTAATGTGGGAGACAACATGCAAACAAATACATACAAAGCAAACTATGTACAGGATAAATAAGAAATAATTAAAAGAGAGAAGGCACTAGAATTAAGAGGGGTTAGGGATTTTAGTTGTGGCCATGGCAAGTCATTTAGCCCTTCTGGACCTCAGTTTCCTCATCTGTAAAATGGTGGAGTTGGACTTGATGACCTCTAAGTTCCCTTCCGGCTATAAATCAATGGTTCTCTCACTGTCCTACAGCATATAGATAACAGACCTTGGGAGGAGACTCAGTTTAACGTCATCAGCAGCTCCAGAGTAGGGATGAATGGTAAGAGTGACCAAGGGTTGTAGATTAACAGCAGAAGGACAAGGGATAGTGCTCTTCTGAAAGGGCTAGCATGTCAAGGAAGGAAAGCGTAATCAGAATAGGAATGGTAAACTTGGAAAAGAGGCAAAGATCAAGGGACCAGAGGGGTGTGGCAGCAGGATCTTCATTTATTCATTAACTCAAGAAATATTTATTAAGAGCTGACCATGTGCTGGGCACTAGGCTAAGTGTTAGGGATTCAGAGACAAACATCAAAATGGAGCTCACCTCCCACTGGGCAAAACAACATAGGCATGTATATAAGTGCATATGAAGCCATTTGGTGGACTAGCGCTAGCCACTGGGAGGATAGAAATCAGGAATGTAGGAGGGCTAAGGTTTGAAAGAAGTCAGAGATTCTAAGAAGTGGAGGTGAAGGAGTGAATGCATTCTGAGCAAGTCTGGCTGACAGCCTGGGCAACGGAAAGGAGGCAGGAAATGGCACATCGTATGGTAGGCCAGTTAGGCGGACACATGGAATGCACGAAGGTAAGTAACGTGCAATAAACCTGGACAGGTAGGTTGGAGCCCAGTTGTAAAAGACGTGAGTCCATATTTAATCCCAGAGACCACAGGAACTTGTTGAACTGGAGTGTAATACAGTCAAGCCTGTGCTTTAGGAATATATTCACTTTGGCAGGTGTGTGAAGGACAGGGGACAGAAAGGGAAAACTCTTGAGACAGGCTATTGTAACATTGAGAGGTATTAAGGACCTCAACTTGGGTAGCTGGGTGGTGCGGCAGATAGAGCGCCGGGCCTGGAGTCAGCAAGATTCATCTTCCTGAGTTCAAATCTGGCCTCCTGACACTTACTAGCTATGTGACCCTGGGAAGTCACTGAACCCTGTTGGCCTCAGTTTCCTTATTTGTAAAATGAGCTAGAAAAGGAAATGGCAAACCGCGACTCTAGTATCTTTGTAAATCCAGAGTTGAGAGGTTGAAGAAGCAATAAGAGAAGTGGAGACAAAGAATGGAGATGGCTTTTTTTTTTTTTAAGAATTTGGCTGTGAGAGGGAGGCTTTAGAGATGGCGATAACTGGAGTGGAGAGTAGGGTAAAGTGAATTTTTTTTAAAGGATAGGAGAGAACTTAGTGTGTTCGTAAGCCACAGGGAAGGAACCAGGGCATAGGGAGAATTTAAAAATGAGAGACAGGGAATGATTATGGGGGTGGGGAGCCGGAGGAAATGGGAGAGGATGGGGTCAAGTGTACAAATAGTGGGATTGACCTTGGCAAGGAGAAGGGCCTCTGAGGTCTATTCTGGCTCAAGCTCTGTGATTTTATAATCCTATGACCTTTTTCATCACAGACTGAAGAGAAAAAGAAGAGAGAATGGGGAAGTATTTTAAGAAGTTTTGAAATGTAAAGTAGAGAAGAAGAGGGAGCTCACAACAAATATATTCTATTTTCTCAGTAAAGTAAGAGGGATGTGAGGAATGAAGAGAAAGTTAAGAACAGCGAGGTCCTGTAGGTAACACATCCTGTTAGCTTGGCTATGTGGCTTCCTTTGGCACAGTTCAGCAGCCCCTGGAATAGGAGGGGCATGACTGAAAATGACTGACAGTCCTCCAGATCTTTGAAGATAGCTATGGTCTCCATTCCTCCCCATCACCCTGCTTCCCTTCTCCATCTTCTCTTCTTCAGGTTAAATATCTCCCTTCCTTCAATAGATCCTCATATGACATGGACTCAAAGACCTACACTACCACGGTTGTCCTCATAGGATCATTGGACCATATTTTAGAGTTGGAAAGGAATTTAAAAGACATGCAATCCTCCCCACTCATTTTTCAAATAGGAATCTAAAGCCTTCGGAAGTTACATGACTTGCTGACCCTTTGGATGCTCTCTAGTTTAATTTTTTTTTAATCAGACCTATGAAGAGAACTATATTGAGAATTCTCAGGGGGGAAGTTAACTTTTATCCATTCAGATCTACATTTGATGAGCAAGTTATAGTCTCAGACTATAAGTTTCCTGCACATTAAGAGTTTATGACTTCTTGTTGTTTAGTCATTTTTTCAGTCGTATTCAACTCTCTGTGACCCCATTTGGTGTTTTCTAGGCAAAGATACTGGAATGGTTTGCCATTTCCTTCTGTAGCTCATCTTACAGATGAGGAAACTGAAGCAAATAGAGTTAAGTGACTTGCCTAGGCCACACAACTAATAAATGCCTGAGGCTGGATTTGAACTCAGGTCTTCCTGACTTCAGGCCTGGCATCCTATCCACTGAACCACCCAGCTGCTCTAGTTGCACCTGGTTTTGACCAAATCAGGATCATGAAGTCAATTTGTTTCTGAAGCAAGACTAGAACCCAACTTGACTTCAAGTCTGGTTCTCTATCCACTATATCATTCTGTTTTCCTGAACTGTGTCACTAGGAATTAAACACAATCCTATAGAATTCATTTCACTAGAGCAAACTACATACCTATATATCACATTCTCACACATTCAGGTTCTCTCTTTCTTAAAGCATCCCAAGTTCAGATGAGCTTTTTTTTTTTCTGCCATATTACATTGTTAACCCATGATAAACATTCAGTCTGGTAAAGAACCCCTTCCCCCAGTTTTTTTCAGATTAACTACTGTCCAACCATGCTTTCCCTATCCTGTGCTCAGGAAGTCAATTTTCTGAACCCTTGTCTATTGTTTTACATTTGATCCCTGTTAAATTTCATCTTTATTACAGTCAGCTCAATGTTCCAACCTGTCAAGAACTTTCTGAATCCTGATTCTTACCCACTATGTTAGCTATCTCTCCTAGTTTTTGTGTCATGTGCCAATTTGATAAGCTCTCCATCTATGCCTTTTTCAAGCTAATGATAAAGCATAAGGCTGAGCAGAGATCCCTGGAGCATTCCTCTGGAGAACTTGAGAGATGATGAAGTCTCAAATGTTACTATTTAGGTCCTAGGTCAACAATGGCCCATGGCCTAACTTTGGTCTGCTGCCTGTTGTTTTTTAAAAGCCTGCAAGCTAAGAATGGTTTTTACATTTTTAAATGGTGAGAGTTGGCTGATAGGTCATAGTTTTCCAACCCCTGATTTACATGACTGAGGCAGAGAGGGAATGCAGGACAAAGAAACTGAGAAGGCTGATGGACTTGGAAGCCACAATGACAGAAAGATAATAAAAATGAATATTGAAGTCATCAAGGATGATGGAAGGGATTGAGGTTGGAAGGAAGATTACAAGCCATGTGCGAGACTCAATGAGCAAAAAGAGGGAGTAATCTGGAAGTCAATTGATGAAGATTCTATACATAGTGACTTATTCAGATGGTGAGAACATCAAAAGAGAAGAGTTTGCTGAGTGATGGTAACAGAGGGATGGTCTGAAGTGGCAGTGGAAACCAAAACACATGCCTCCTCCTCTTCTAGCCTCTGTGAGTTAATGGCAATAGAGAAGGAATGGCCAGCATTGGAGAGGATGGCAAAGGGATGTGGTATCATTAGTAGAAGTGCAGGTTTCAGGTAGTGTCTAGAGATGGAAGGAGTGACAGAAAAAGATTCCAAGAATGAAGGGAGATTCGCTAACAATAGACTGAAAGGTCTAGAAGACAAGTAAGAGGGAAAGAGACAAGGAAGATAGGGACTAGTGAGAAATAGGACTAAGATGGATGAGGATGCAAGAACTGGAAAAGGTAGAGCTGGAGTCTCCTGATCTTTTCATATCATTTCCTTAAGAAGGAATCAGTCTAAGATCTGGACACCAGAGCTGTAAAACTGTACTAGGCATTTATTTACCAGATCAGAGATTTAGATCAGGAATGTACCTGAGGAATGATTCAGTCCAACCCCCTTATTTTCCAGATGAGAAAACTGAAGCCAAGTTTGTCATTTGACCAAGGTCGTACATCTAGTAAGTATTTGAGGCAAGATTTGAGCTCAGGTCTACCTAACTCCAAGTCCAGCACTCTGTTCACTGCACCACCTAGTGCTTGACCCATTGGGGTCAGAAAACCAATGACACTGACTTCCATAGGGTATTTGGAGAAATGGGCTTATTCAATGGAAAGAGTATTAAGAACCATAATGGAAGGGGCAAGATCAGTGTGAAGGGAGAAGGAAGGAGTGAAAAAGTAAGGATTCATAACATAGATCTGAAAAGGAACGCAGGGAATGACAATTTGATAAATGTTTGAGATCTCAGCCTCCAGTGGTCACTATTGGCTACATAACTTTGAAAGGTAGGACCTTAATTGAAGTTCAATGTATTTATGGGAATCTGGGTAGTACAGTGAATGAATTACATTTTTTAACTTCTCAAGGGTACAGCAGTCATCACCCAGGCTTACAAAGTAGGCATCTCTCATACTGTATTGAATATGCTGCCAAGTTCTACCAATTTTACCTTCATAACATCGCTAATATATGCCCTTTCTCTCCTCTGATAGTGCCACCACCCTCTGCAGGCTCTCATCAGCTCACACTTGGACTAATGCAATAGCTGCCGATTGGCCTCAAGCCTCTCCCCACTCCTGTCCATCGTCCACAGCTGCCACAGTTATCTTCCTAAAGCTTAGGCCTGACCATGTCACCCCCTTACTCAATAAACGCCAGTGGCTCCCTACCTCTAGGATCAAATATAGAATTCTGTGCTTGGCATTCAATGCCCTTCATGACCTGCCCTTCCCAGCCCACTCCCTGTATTTTTCCAGTCCTCTTATACCTCATATCCCACTACTGCCATGTACTCTGTGGTCCAGTGACACTGGCCTCCTTGTTGTTCCTATCATATGACACTCTATCTCCTGACTCAGTGAATATCCACTGGCTGTCCCCTATGCCTGAAATTCTCTCTCTCTCTCTCTCCATCACTGTATTCTGACTTCCCTGGCTTCCTTGAACTCTTGCCTAAAATCTCACCTTTTACAGGAAGCCTTTCCTTGTTGTTATTGTTGGTGAGTTGTGTTTGACTCATCATCACCCCATGTGGGGTTTTCTTGGCAAAGATATTGGAGTGGTTTGCCATTTTCTTCTCCAGCTCATTTTACAGATGAGGAAATTGAGGCAAACAGGGTAACTTGCCAGGGTCACAGTAAGTGTCTGAGGCCAGATTTGAATTCCAGTCTTCCTGACTCCAGACCTGGGGCTCTATCCACTGCATCACCTAGCTGCCCTAAGCCTTTCCTGGTTTCCCTTAATTCTAGTGCCTTCACTCTGTTGATTTTCTCTACTTCATTCTATATATATCTTGTCTGTACATAATTGTATATATGCACTCTCTTTCTCTCTCTCTGTCTCTGTCTCTCTCTGTCTCTGTCTCTGTCTCTGTCGTCCCCCCCACCCCCCCGGTCTCTCATTAGACTGTGATCTCTTTGAGAGTAAGGCCTATCTTTTACCTTTCTTTGTAACCCCAGAGCTCATTATGGTGACTGACATATAGTAGGCAACTTACCGCTTTTGGATAGTTCTGATCCCTAGGAAGTTCTCCCTTGTATCAAGCCTAAATCTGCCTCTCCTCACCCTCTACACAGTGAAGTCTGTCAAAGAGAGAGACAAGTAGCAGAGGCAAGCAAGAATTAGCAGAGCGAGGAACTGTCAGATGCAGACTACAAACATAAAGACCCCAAACCCCTAGGACAAAATGGGAAATGTTTTGGAGCCCCTTGGAATAGAGATTGGCAAAGAAGTCAACAAACACAAAAACCCTTGCATACAAAGTGCTGTTCTAACCATTTAAAATATCAAAATGAGACTGATTATCTTAAGGGGAAAATACTCCAAAAAAGGGTTGTTTTTCCTTCTTTGGCTATTTGCTTCTCTGTTCTATTCCTCACCTAGATTGAAGACCCCTCAAAGGCAGAGAGGCAATGCCTCTGAGTCCTCAGCATTGCGTGTTATACCTCGCACAGAGTAAATTGCTCCTCAATAAAATGTTCATTGATGAATACAATCCTGATGCTACAGAAAATGTTGTTTCAAGCAGGAAATGGTAGGAAGGAGAGAGTACTTAAATAAGAAGTTAGAGCCTCAGGGTATTTGTTGAGAAGTTACATGAAATAGGGGAAAGAATTCTGGATTTGGAGAAAGAAAGCCTAGCATCAAATCTTGGCTCTACTCTTTCCTAGTCTGTGTGACCTTAGGCAAGTCATGTAACTTCTATAAGCCTCAGTTTCCTCATCTGTACAAAGGGGATAATGATACTTATATTACCTATCTTCACTGGGTTGTTATAAGAATCAAATGTGATAATGCTTACAAAGGAAATAGGGACAGTACTGATTTCATTGGTATTGAGAATTTCTTCTACCAATGGAGATCAGCATCCTCTTTAAATAGTCTTAGAGAATATGCCCTAGGTCACAGAGCCAGTGTATGTCAGAGGTCATACTTCAACCCAGATATTCCTGGCTCTTGGGCCAGATCTCTATCACAACCATGCTGCATCACGATGTATGCAAAGAATCTTATAATCCACATAAAGCACCATATAAATGACAGCAGGATTGATTATCATTACCATCTTCCTTACTGACTAGCTATGCATGAAAGAAGGCTGAATTTGGAGACAGAGGATCTCAGTTTGGGTCCTAACTCTGTCACTTACTACCTGTGACCTTGACCAAAACACTTGATCTCCTTGGGGCTCCATGGCCTCAATTAAAAAAATTAGAGGATTGGTCTAGATGACTTATAATGGTCCCAGCTCTAAATTTATTGGGGAAGCCAAGTTACCTCTCTGAATTTCTGTTTCCTTATCTATAATATAAAGAGGTCAGTCTCTCAGGACCCTACCAGCTTTGAAATTTGGTGATCATGTCTATGAAAAGGAAGTCATCCATTATGAATCCTTGCACCCTTTGTTCAGTGTGGTCTGTGCCCATTTCCTCTTCCTTCTGATGATTAATCACCCCCTTGATAGATAATGGTTCTGTTAGCTGATAGGAAATATAAACTTGATTTATCACCGGTCTGGACATGTGAAAGAGTTAAAATTTATTCATCATTGGCTCCTTACATTCAAAGTACTTTGAAGCCATTTATTCATTCAGAAGAGGGTTTCTTGCACTTCTAAAAAGCTATCTAGGAGTAGATTGGTTGTCGAATTTTGTCAAAATTTAGCAGAGGGGTAGGGTAGAGAAGGAAACTCTATTTACCAACGGATAGCCACATTTTGAAGATTTGAGTGCATTCGAAAATAATCAACCCTTAGCTTACCTGAAGTATCCAGGAAATAAAGATAATTGTGTGTGTGTGTATGTGTGTGTGTGTGTGTGTGTGTGTGTGTGTGTGTGTGTGTATGTGTTCAGGGCAGGGGGTGGGGGAGATGGGAAGGGGGACACAGAACTACTAGAAGCAGTGTAGTGAATGGAGAGCTAGTCTTAAGAGTAACAAAGACCTGTTTTCATCTTTGGCTTCTGACACATACTGATTGTGTGACCCTGTCAAGGTCACTTGAGCTCTCAGTGACTTCCCTCCAAGCTTTATATTACATTTATTTTATTTGTGTTTGTATTATAGACAACTATGTCATACAGGGGGTTAAAAAAAACCAAACAAACTGGACTTGGAGTCTAGAAGACTAGATTAGAATTTACATCTGGCTCAGACACTTTTTAGCTGTGTGACCCTGAGCAAATCACTTAACCTCTGTCTACTTCAGCTTCTTCATCTAGAAAATGGGGATAGTAGCACCTACATTCCAGGTTGTGATGAGATAATATTGGTAAAGCACTTTGCAAACCTTAAAGCAATATATAAATGCTAGCTATTTTTGTCATTATTCTTATAAGACTATCAGTTACAGAACAGTTACTGACCTCATTGGTGGAGGGAATTTCCTTGCCAGGAATTGTCTAAACCAATGAAATCCCAAGTCTGGGCGAAATAAAATAAAATGAGGGTGGGGCAGAGAAAAAAAAATCCCAGTTACAAGTATAATTAGAAATGAAAGAGTTAACTATATTTATTAGCTTTATTTTCCACCCAGTGGAAATGTGGTTTGCTGACTAAAGCCTTTGTAAATGATTGTTAGAGACCTGTCATCTGTAGCTGTTGGTAGCTACTATACGTGTTCTGCAAATGCTGTTTCCTCTGAAAGTTTGTGTATCGTAACCTGTCTCATTATTCTGTCTGATCCTGTCCAGTTACTCTTGGAGAAAGACAGCTCAGACAAACAAGGATAGAAGACAAGGACTACAGCACTGTTTCTGAAATGATCCAAAGCGAGGAGACATATGAAATCCCTGATCAGCCAGAAGAAAATGAAAATAAGCTTTATGAGCAGGTTTGTGATGATAGGTTATCCCCAGGTTCCACCACAGATGAAGAAACTACCTACATCAATGTCCAGGAGACTCCAGGGAATGCTCAGTATGACTCTGTGTCCTCCTACTGGGATAATGATGAAGAATACAGCATGGTCTTTTCTCAGCAAGGAGAGAGAAATTATGAGCTGCGTGCAGAAGTCTGTGAGCAGGCTGAAGATGCCCATCAACAGTCTGAAAAAGCCTATGAGTCTCCCAAACACTTCTACCAGCTTCCTGAACCACTCTACCAGTCATTGGATAAAGCAGACCAGAAGCCTGAAGAAATTTATCAACCGCCTAGGGCAATCTACCTACTGGATGAAGAAATTTATCCAAAGGATAAATCCAAGGAGAGGATTGATGCAGACACGGGCAGGATTATCTCAAGGGGTACATTGCCCTCTCCCACAAGCTTCAGCATACAGTCTATCAAAAGCTCCTTTAGCTTGTTTTCCAGATCTGACAGTTTGCAAGAAGTCAGAAACTCTACCAGTGACCCAGAGATCTATCTCTTCGTCAAGGTAAGAGGATACCCCTCTTAGATGTATAGATGCTTAGGTGGTATGATAGGGTTTTCTTTTTAAGGCCAATCATGTATTGCTGGCCATGGTATATAGCAGAGGTATCAAACACATGGCTCCAGGGCCATGGTATGGTCAAAATAAGGTAAATTGAGGCACAAAGTTATAAACACAATAAATGTATTAGTAAAGTGTGAATTTATCAATAAAGTGAGTCAGCTTCCTTGGCAAAGCTAAAACCCTGAGATGGGGAATGACTACCCTTTTCATAGTTTTTAGGGAAGTGCAGAATGAAAAACAGAACTTTGTAGACAGGAAACAAGTTATGATTGGTTAAAAGAGCTTAACATCATAAATGTTGAAATCAATATGATTGGCTACAGAGCTGAAGCATGGGGGACAATATGATTAGCTGAAAATTGGGATTGAGGGGCTGGCAACAATCCCTTTTTTCCCTCCTGTGACTGAGAAATGTTCAATGTTTGAGTCCGCATACAAGGTTAGAGATGATAGACTAGACTTTCTTTGTTTGGATAGCAAACCAGACATCCTTGAAGGATAGCTTGGTGGTGTAAGGACCAGACTCCCTGGAGTCCATCTGCTTTCTTCAAGGGTAACAGGTTTTCTTGACATTAAGAATAACAGAGATTAACAAGGGAACTGGATTTCTAAACTTAACTCATTGCAGGCCCAATGAATTCTAAACTAAACTGAGAGACAAAGAACCATGACTTAGGCAGTTATAGGACAAAATCAACTAACTATAAATAGGATCAATTAAAAAAATAATAAATATTCAATCTGATTATTTCAGCTGCATTGCCCACAACACTCACAAGTACTGCCCAGACTAGATTAAAATATAATTGGGAAATATTTAATAAAATAAATAACAATACAATAGAACAAAGATAATGATAAGATGTGATTTTCTAAATTAACACCCAGCTTTCAGGGCTCCTTTTGTGTGGTTTAGTGACCTAGTTTCTATTTGTGTTTGACACCACTGCTACACAGTGTCATATATTGAGACTCTTTCCTAAGCAACAGTGTTAAAAAGCAGCAACAACCAGGGATGTAGCTGAGTGAAAGAAAAGCTGAATGCTGAGTCAGAGGATCTCACTTTGAATCTTAATTCTGTTAACATAATATCTCTGTGACCTTGGGGAAGTCAATGCCCCTACTCTAGGCTTCAGTTTCCTATAAAATGAAGGCATTGGTAGAACTCTTAGCTCTAAATATATGTTATGATGTGATGTGATATATAATATGCTGTGATATGACATTATATAGCACTTTTCTCACATCAGTCCCTGATGCAGGTGGGATGAGTGCTATTATCCCCATTGCACAGATGAAGAAACTAAGACTTGGACTAGTGAAGCCACTTGTTCATGGTTATACAATTGGGAGGTATCAGAGCTGGAGTTCAAACCTAAGTCTCTCTTGACTCCAGGTCTGTTATTCAACAGCTATTCACCAAAGAAACTGATAGTCACCAAACCCTTCTAAGTATTCTCAAATACATGAAAACATTTATTTTAAGAACATGTTAAAATGCATCATTGGATTATTTGTTTGGATATTTACCCTATCTACTATTAACATTGATAAAAGTCCATCTGTTTAATTGCCCGCATGTGAATAATAGTTGTACAGAGTAAAATCATTAAAAAAACATAAAATGTCACTAAAAACTTTAGAATATTAGAGTGTGAAGGGGCTCTAGAACATAGGATGATCTGTCAGCTGAGACGGGCCTCTGAAAATCCACTAGTCTAGTCTAAGCCCCTCATCTTATAGGTGAAGAAAATGAGGCCCAGGGCTAATAAGGAGGCAGGCAGAAAGTCAGGATGTATTAATGTCCTACTGAAATAGGGGGACCTGGATTCCAATCCTATCTCTGCTGCTTTCTACCTATGAGATTTTAGACGTCACTCTCCCTTTTAGTCTTTCTTCCTAGGAAAATCAAGGGGCTAGACTCCATGATCTCCAGGAATCTGTGCAGTTTTATGTGTTATTGATGAACCTAAGAATTGCCTCAGATTTCTGTTTTGGAATAATGTAAGGTTTATATTGCTCCAACAAATGAAATTCCTTCTGTCAACGTGGATTTTTGTTTATTTATTTTTGTGACACTATAGCTTGTGAAAGTCAGCTTGGGAATATTTCTCAGTTTCCTTTCCTGTGTGTTTCATGTGTTATATAGGGACTTAGCTCTTAGAATAATAAACGCTCTTTTGCCTTTGACCTTGCCCTTTTGTTCCTGATATTGCTATCTAAATTGGCATGTAAAGTAATTGCTGCTTCAATAATTGTCAGGAAAATAATGATCCATGTTAATGTTTAATGACAGTGATAATCAGATATAAATCTTCAGTGATCTTTGAATTGGGGGTCATTATGATAGAAAACAGATGAATTTTATGAATCTCATGAAATATGATAATTATTTCAGGTATGAACAAATAATTATTTATTAGAATGTATGAGATATTTCTCAACATTTTCTCCTGACAGTGTTCACAACTGTTGATAATTTGAGGACTGAACATTAATGAGAATCCAGGTGAATATGATTATGGACCTTACTCTAAAGAGGAGCCATTTAATTCAATTTACCAAATATTTATTTTTTTAAATTTTTTTGATGTCTCTTGTTTTTTAGATCACTTTCATTTCCCAAAATACCCCTTCCCCACTACTTTCCAGGGAAAAACCCCTTAAAATAAAGAATTTTTTAAAAGAGGAAAAATTAATCAACAAATATATTGATAAGAGTCTGACAGAATATGCAGTGTTTTACACTCATTCATAGTAGTCTTTCACTTCTGAAAAGAAATGAGTCGCCAAAAATTTCTCAAGCATTTTCTTTGTGTTTAGAATTGGGAAGAACTACTTCAAGGCTTCAGTACTTGAAAATGGAACATATCTGTGATTTAAATGATGCAGATGTGATCTCAATTGGGGCAAATTGAAATCTATCCCAGCCTCCTCTTCCCATGTGATTCTGGGTCTTCTTTCCTCCATAGATCCCTTTGAGTGGGATTTAATATTTTATTTTAATTTTATTTTTCCCAATTATGTGTAAACTTTTTTTCAAATTTTAGCTTCCAAGTTCTCTTCCTCCCACTCCTCCCCCATCATTGAGAAGGCAAACAATTTGACATAAGTTATACATGGGTAGCCATGCAAAACACATTTCCTTATAAGTCATGCTGTGAAAGAAAACACAGACAAAAAAAAAAGCCCAAGAAACATAAAGAAAAAAATCTTTGATCTGCATTTATACTCTTTCTCTGGAGATGGATACCACCTTTTATCATAAGTCCTTCAGAATTGGCTTGGATCATTGTATTACTGAGAATAGCTAAGTTATTCACAGTAGATCATCATACAGTATTGCTGTTGTCATGTACAATGTTCTGGTTCTGCTCATTTCACTTTGCATCAGTTCATGTGAATCTTTTCAGTTTTTTTCTGAGAGCATCTTGCTTGTCATTTCTTAAAACACAATAGTATTTCATTACAATCATATACAACAGCTTGTTCAGCCATTCCCCAACTGATGGACATCCCCTCATTTTCCAATTCTTTGCTACCACTAAAAGAGCTATTATGAACATTTTTGTACACAGAAGTCCTTTTCCTTTTTTTTTTTTTAATATCTTTGGGAGACAGACCTAGTAGTGGTGCTTGGTCAAAGGGTATGCATGGTTTTATAGCCCTTTGGGCATAGTTCCAAATTATTTTCCAGAATGGTTGAATCAGTATACAACCTCAATAGTATATTGGTGTTTTATTTTTCCCAAGTGCCTTCCAACATTTGTCATTTTCCTTTTCCATCATATTAGCTAATCTGACAGGTGTGAATTAGTAGCTCAGAATTGTTTTAATTTGCATTTCTCTAATCAGTAGTGGTTTAGAGCATTTTTTCGTATGACTATCAGTAGTTTTGATTACTTTGAAGACTGCCTGTTCATATCCTTAGACCATTTATTAATTGAGGAATGCTCTTATTTCTATAAATTTAACTCCATTTTCTATATGTCTGAGAAATGAAGCCTTTATCAGAGAAATTCACTGTAATTTTTTTTCACAATAATGATCGCCAACTACATAGTTCCCTCCATCCTATTTTCTCCCCTGTTTATCCTACTGTCTCTCTTTTTTCCCTATCCATTCTTAAAATGTTTTGCTTCTGACTTTTACCTCCCCCAAATTGCTCTCTTTGCTATTAACTCCCCCCTCCCCCACTCTCTGCCCTGCTTATCTTATCCCCTTCCCTTCCTGCTTTCCTGTATGGTAAGACAGATTTCTATACCCAACTGAGTGTGTATGTTATTCCCTCTTTGAGCCAATTCTGATGAGAGTAATGTTCATGTTCTACCTTCCCCCTTCCCCCATTTTCCCTTCCACTGTAAAATCTCTTTTGGACCTCTTTTATGTCAAATAATTTGTCCCCATCCTGCCTCTCCCTTTCTCCTTCTCCCAATGCATCCTTTTTTCTCATCTCTTAATTTTTTTTAGATAATCATATCATCATATTCAACTCACCTCTGTGCTTTATGTCTGTATATACTCCTTTTAACTGCCCTAACAAGATTTTAGGAGTTACGAGTATCATTTTTTCACGTAGGAATGTAAACAGTTTAACCATATTGAATCCCTTATGATTTATCTTTCTTGTTTACCTTTTTATACATCTTTTGTATCTTGTATTTGAAAGTTAAATGTTCTATTCAGCTCTGGTCTTTTCATCAGGAATGTTTGAAAACCCTCAATTTCATTGAATGACCATTTTTACCCCTGAAAGATTATACTTAGTTTTGCCAGGTAGGTGATTCTTGGTTATAATCCTAGGTCTTTTGTTCTTCAGAATATCATATTCTAAGCCCTCTGATCCTTTAAGGTAGAAACTGCTAAATCTTGTGTTAGCCTGATTGTGGCTCCATGATATTTGAATTGGGGTTTGTTTGTTTTTTTGGCTTTTTTTTTTT